GAGCTTGAGGGGAAGCAGGGAGAGAGTTGGAATGAGCGTAGAAAAATTAAGAAGGAACTAAAAAAGGCTGAGAAACTAAGGACCAAGGTACATAATTTTGCTTTGGCTGCCACGGCGTTGGCAAAATTACCGATGGTAAGTAAAGACAAGGAAACAGAAAACGGAGCAATGCCGGTGAGTAATATATACCCATCCCTACCCACGGCTCCACCAAAGTATTCTCTAGGTTTAGAACCAGGTAAGCCAAATCTAATATTGCCACAATATACATTTTCAGGAGAAGTGGCAGTAAGAAAGAGAGGGGACAATGACTTTGTAGACAGGGAATTTGACGAAGGGACAGAAGAGGAGTCTGTGGGGGACAATAGAGATCCGAGTCAAAATCCAGCTGTCAGCCTCCCGCCACAGCTCCCACACACCCCTCACCAACCCCCATCTATTCAAGAGGAGCTCCTGCACTCTCTCAGAAATTTTAGAGCTAGGAAACCAACCTTTGAATGCACCACAGACAGAGTTGAGAGAGAAGAAACCGCAAGTAGGACCCATGATTACGAGACCGCTAGACAGGAGAATGCAAAATTAATTAATAAAGCCGCACGCAGAGCCATGACTAGGACGGACAGTGAGAGTGACAAGGGAGACGGTGCCATGGCCCCACCAGCAATTAAAGCTAAACAGGCTAAAAAAGGAGCTAAATTCTCTTCTGACAGTAGTGATGACGGAGACCAGGAGCCTGGAGAAACTAGACCGGTGGCAAGCAGAACCAGGTCTCAGACAAAATCCATGTTCCCTCTGAGACCAGGACGAGGCGCAGCTGGGGAGTACCATCCTTTTTCTGTAAGTGACATGCAGACTATAAAAGACAAAATGCCTCCATTGTGTCAGGGAGCTGGAAACTGGATTTCCAGTCTCAACACATGGTTTACAGGTCATGATGTCGCGATGGGTGACGTCCGGGCAGTGTTGGCAGCATGCAGTAAACCTTGGGAGAGAGACGCTATTGAAAGACAAGCTGGTACTGCTGATGTTTGTGATTCTTCCAGATTTGGCCAATATGCAAATGCCTTGTATGAAGCACTGAGGGAAAACTTTCCAACTCCGCTGTCTTCTGCCCCTCGTGAGTTAACTTGGCTGGAGTCTGAGGACCCACTTGTATTTTATGATAGGTGTGTGACCAAGTGGATGGACACAGTAGGAAGACACCCTCACAAGGTCAGTGAAGTCATGCCTTTTAGAGCAGCTATTTTGAATGGTTTACCAGAAACCATACGCTCAAAACTTGAGGACAACCCAGATAATATTAACCCAGATTCAGCACAGTGGAAGACAAATTTAATCTTTCACATTAAGCGATATGTTGAAAATAAAACTAAAGAAAGAAAGAGTGTTGAGATATGGACTTGTCAACTTTTGAAGTTACAGCTTAGTGAAGCTAGAAATAAAGCCACCCAAAATAAAAAAGGAACTAGTAATCAGATGACTAATATGCCTGCTGGACCTGCGACTCAACCACGACAGGACTGGACAAGGGGAGGGGCCAGAGGTGGTGGGCGTGGGGGCCGGGGAGGAAGAAGGGGTGGAAGCTGGAGAGGGGGCAGGGATGTGTGTCGGCTCTGTTACAGGCACGGTCACTGGGCGAAGGACTGCCCCTTTGAAGGAGAGGCCTCCTACTACCATGGAGCGCCTGAGATGGTGCGTGGGAGGGGCCCCCAGAGAGGCATGGGACCCAGACCAGAGCGCGCAGGCCCTCCCTCCCCATGGACGGCTCCGAATGACAACCTGGCCCCGAGAGATGGACAATATTACCAGAACTACTGGGGCGAGTATGAACATGAACAATCTTACTAGGGCTGCCTAGGAAATCCAGGGGACAAGGTGCTTGCAGAGCCTATGCTTCCCATAAGGGTGGAGGACGACGACCTGATGGCCCTGGTGGACACTGGCGCCACCTACTCTACCATCAATACAAAGATACGCCCTGTCCTGCTCTCTGAGGAGCACATCACCCTGGTTGGATTTTCTGGGACACCTGAGGTACTGCCACTCACTAAACGTTTAAAGACACAAATTGGAACACAGACACTGTGGCATTCTTTTGTAAATGCTCCTAAAACACCTGTCAACCTGCTGGGAAGAGACTTATTGACTAAAACCAATGCGTCAATTCTATGTGGACCGGATGGTCTACAAGTGACTTTTCCAGGGGGGCAAATTTACAGATGTGTGACCGGTGTATCGATGGACTCCTGCTGGCTTCTGAGAGAAGAGATGCCAGACCAGTATGCAGACATATACTGGGTGAGACTGGACCCAGAAAACAAGTCCACGGACAATAATGGTGTGCATTCCGTCTTCTTCAAGTGGAAACCCTGGATAAATTCTTTGGCCTCCTACCACCTCCCACTGGACCCTGCCCACTTGACATTATTCTATGACAGAGACCAAGACTTAATGTACAGAGAACAATTCAAACAAATTGAAAGTGATAGGTGGACATTAGAATCAGATTACATTTATATTGGGCCTGAGGGTGTGGCGGCCCATACACGGCTGCTTCCTGAACAGTGTGAGTGGTATTACATGTCTTCCTCTGCTGTCCCACACATCACCTTGGCTGTACACCCTGGTCACGAGGCTAGAGCTTTAGGTCCAATGGTAAAGAGACTGGTAAAAGCTGACGATTGGTCTGACACCCAACTCCCTCATGTGCAGTACAGCATTGAAAATAAGTCATACAGAATAAAAGCAAATATGATAGACACAGGGGAAGTGGAGCACGAAACATTGACCAGACATCATGGTAGACACATGACAGATCATGATGATACTCATGAAATATTGAAACAGGTGCCTGCAGAAGTTTGGTCCCAAGGTCCCACGGACGTGGGGTTGTGCACCTCTTTCCCTCCTGTGTCTTTACAGATGAAGCCAGGAGGCCCGATTCGCATAAAGCAGTATGCCACCAAACCAGACGCTGTCGAGGGTATCTCACAGGTGATAGAGGGACTTACGAAAGTGGGAGTCCTCGAGCCATCAAAATCAGAGTGGAACACGCCCACTCTAGCTGTGCCAAAAACAGGTCAGAATAAATATAGAATGGTCCATGATTTGAGAAAAATAAATGATTTAACATTAACTCCGTGTCTCCCGGTCCCAAACCCTTATACAATGCTGTCATCACTGTCACCAGACCTCCAGTATTTTACTGTTATGGATTTGGCTAATGCATTTTTCTGTATTCCCCTGGGCAGAGGAAAGCAGAGATTTCTTCTCATTTACTCACAGGGGCCAAAAACTGCGTTACACCCGTCTTCCCCAGGGACATAAATGCTCCCCGGGCATTTTTAATCAGACTTTGAACGCTCTGCTGAGAGAGTTGGTGCTTCCGGAGGGCGTGGTACTCCTACAGTATGTGGACGATCTCCTCCTCGCCTCGAGGACGGAGCAGGCCTGTCTACAAGCCACCAGGGACACTATAATCTTCTTACATTCAAAAGGATTTAAGGTCAGTAAGGAAAAGCTACAATGTTGCAGGCCTGCGGTGACCTTCCTGGGACGTAGTGTGTCTGGAGGATCCACAAATATGTCTCCAGAGCATAGAGATGCTATTTTGTCATATCCCAGACCCACCATGGTGGGGGACATGTTGTCCTTCCTGGGTCTGATAGGTATAGCAGACACTATGTGGCAGATTTTGCAGACAAAACTAAACCTTTAAGAGCTTTAGTTAATGAACATGGCATGAGAAACACAAGGGCTAAACTGAATTGGGACAGAGATAGTGAGGCACAGTTTATCTCACTCAAACAGGACCTATCCTCTGCGGCTCATTTGGCGTCACCAGATTATTCCCCGTTCTATTTAGATGCCACAGTGCAGTCTCAGGTAGCTAACGGGGTGTTATATCAAAAGTGCAGAGGCCAGAGAAAAATCTTACAGTATATTAGCGTTCCATTGGATTCAATCGAGGCTAGACAGGTTGACTGTTCTAGGTATGCTGCAGGAGTGGGACATTTGATTAAGAAAACAGCACATTTAGTCATGGGGCATGCTTTAGAAATATTGACTGATCATGGCGTTTGTGCATATGTGTCCTCAGCTGCATTCACTATGTCACCTTTGAGACAGTCACGGCTCTTACAGGTGCTCACTCAGCCCCCACATAACTTTTACACCTCTTGGCATTAACATGGCTGACCACATGCCAAGACAGGGTGAGCCTCATGACTGCAGTGTAAGGGTAATAGACAGTCTGAAAGTGCGACCTGACCTCCAGACTGACCCACTTCAGGACCCCGACTTACAGCTTTTCACAGATGGGTGTTGCTGGAGAGAGAGGAATGGCAGCCTGAGAGCGGCATATGCAGTTGTCAGTGTTAACGGTGAAAATTTTGTTACAGTAAACAGCGGTGTTTTAACTGACAAACCATCAGCGCAGGCGGCAGAACTAGAGGCTCTCTGCGCCGCCTTGGAGTTTGCTAAAGGTAAATCTGTAAATATTTACTCCGACTCTGCGTATGCTACTCAGGCTGTCCATTTCAACCTCTCCGAGTGGAAAAGAAACGGCTTCTTGACTGCTAAAGGCCGACCCATCACACATAGAGCCCTGGTGGAGAGGCTGGACAGCGCTCTCCAGCTTCCAAAACAGGTAAGCGTCATCAAGTGCCAAGGGCACTCCAAGTCAGACAACTTTGAGGCCAGGGGAAACGAGGCGGCGGATGAGGCCGCAAAGAAAGCTGCCAACTACAAGGTCAGTACTCCAGGAGTGTTTGTGGTTCGGGACGAGGGGCCAGACCTGGCAGACTGCCTGCCCGATCTGTCCCTTCAGGTTTTAGCTGAAGCCCAAACAAAAGCAGCTCCTGAAGAAATATCCATGTGGGTTCAAAAACGGGCAAAGAAGGATCCAGATACTGGCATCTGGTACGGCCCTGATGGCCGCCCCGCCCTGCCCATGGGGGACCTCTCACGAGCGGCTTTATCTGAGGCACATGGGCTAGCCCATGTGGGTCAGGTACAGATGCTCAGGAATATGTCACAATGGTGGCATCCCTTTAAGACAAGCATGATCCAAGATTATACTAGGTCCTGTCAAATATGTCAAAATTATAACCCATCGCCCTGCTCAGCTGTTTCCCCAGGAAAATTCACACCTGCTGCTTGGCCTGGAGCACATGTTGTGATGGACTTCACAGATATGATTAACAGGTGCGCAGGAAAGCGGTACCTGTTGGTCATCACTGACACCTTTACGGGATGGCCTGAGGCATATCCTGCTGCAAAAGAGGATGCTGCCTCTGTAATCAAAGCCTTAATTCAGCATTACATCCCAACGCATGGCTTTCCCCAGTTAATAAGGTCTGACAATGGGACGCATTTCAGGAACAAACACTTGCAATTGGTAGAAAAACATCTGGGGCTAAAACATAAATTTGGAACGGTCTACCATCCTCAATCCCAGGGCCGAGTTGAAAGGATGAATCAGACCTTGAAAAGTAAACTCTCTAAAATCCTGGCAACGAGTAAATTGAATTGGCTACAGGCATTGCCTATTGCCCTGTTGTCAGCAAGGCACTCTGTTAACCGCATTCACCATTTCTCCCCATACGAGCTGTTAACAGGGAGGCCTATGCCAGGACCAGGAAAAGGGTGGTGCCTTTCACAAAAGACGACTCCCCAACACCCCCAGTGCGGGTGTACTGGGAACAATTGAGAGAAATGTTGTCTAGTTTTTCCCATCAGGTTGAAGGAAGTCTCGACCTCTGCGAGAAGGAGGCCTCGGAGGATCCACCAGCCTGGGTCCGTGTGAAGGTGTTCAAAAGGAAGTGGAACGAGCCCCGCTGGACCGGACCCTTTGAAGTGGTGGCCCGCACTCGCAAAGCTGTTCAACTGAAGGGACACGGGAACAAGTGGTTTCATCTCTCTCATACGAGACCATCTGACCCACCCTCGTAACCACGCTCACGGGTTGGACAGGGACTCACACACACGCTTACACTCGCTCTTAATATGTTGCCTTGGGACAGGGAGCCCTGGCCCACGACCAAAAGAGGGAGAGCCATCCTATGGGCTATCGCTGCAGTTGGTTTGGTCGTGGTCCTGGGAATTTTAACATGGGAAATGTTAGAAAACACACAGCTAAAGACAGGGCCAGACTTGTAACACAATCCAGTCTTTGGTCCAATAAGACTGACAGAAATAAAAGATCCATAGGAGAAGGCAGCGTTAGAGACTCTCTACCTACGATTGTGACAGTAAAATGCCCGGTGGGTGCGACAATTACAGCCCACATACCAATGGCAACAATCTTTCCATTATCCTTTCGACCTGACTACACACTCTACCTGTGTTACACACCGTCTACATGTAAATATGAGAGACATGGAAAAAGCTTTAGAGCATCGGTGGACTGCACCTGTGATGCTTGGGAGTATGCTATATCCAATACAGGTCCGGATTGGGGTTATAATAAGGAACACAAATTGAAGGGACGAGTGATTCTGACTACAGACCACTCACAAACAACGGTGCTAGTCACTGTGAAAAATTGTGGGATTGATGTGAATGGGACTTACGTTATTGGACATTATCCAGGAGACATTAGACAATGGATTTCAATTGCCATACCCGAGGACAAGGAGCTAGACAAGGAGGCCATAGATAGTGAAGTATGGCAGGACAAACAGAACGTACAGGTGACTGCTGACTGGACTGTTTCTGAATTGTTAAAACAAGCAACTGGATATGGGGATAGAAACGCTTGGTTGTGGACAGTGGAACACATGTCAGCGGCTGCTGGCTTTGACGATTGTGTTGTGTGCTCCACTGCACGTCCCACTTTGTATACAGCCCCTGCTCCACTTTTCCCAGAAGATGTAGATGGTTATAATTGTATGATAAAGTTGTTTTGGCAAGAAAAAGACCTGACTGAGGAGACAAAGACAGCCCCTAGTAATTGTTCAATGTTTGAAGTATTGTTTCCAGAATTGGATTCAGAAATTCAGCCCCCTATGTTTTCCCACAGGAAAAGCAATTACACCTGTTTCCACTCACTCAATGGAGGGACGAGGCCGCGTCTCCAGTGGGGGTTCCTTCCAGCAGACTGGTGTGTCAACAACGTCACCCTGCCCAGTCCGGTCCACATGACCCGGACCAGAGGTGATTTGTATTGGTTGTGTGGAGATTTAAAACTTAGACATAGACTAATAAAAAATTTTACAGGCAGTTGTGCAATGGTGCGATTAATGATGCCCATTTCCATAATTGGCCATAAGCCATCCCTAGACAGTCCCCACCCACAGCATAGATTTAAAAGGGCAATCCCATTCCTAGATACTGGGAAAGATAATCCAACTTACATGGACTCTATAGGTGTTCCACGTGGAGTCCCTCATGAATTCAAACTGGTAGATCAAATTGCAACAGGTTTCGAAAATATTCCAATAATTTCCGCTATTTTCCCTATCACGCCAAACAAAAATGTAGATAGAATTAATTTCATTTGGTATACTATGCTTAGGCTTGCCAATCACACCAGGGACGCAATAGAGGGATTGGCGGAGCAGCTGGGGGCCACCTCTCTGGTAGCATTTCAAAACAGAGTGGCTCTAGACATGCTTTAGCAGAGAGAGGGGGGGTCTGCAGTTTATTTGGTACAGAATGTTGTGTATACATTCCAAATAACACACATCCAGATGGATCAGTTTCCAGGGCTCTGGCTGGTCTCAAAATGCTGTCAGAGCAAATGCATGACGTTTCTGGAGTCCCGGAGAACCCACTGGAGGCGTGGCTGGACAGCATCTTGGGGAAGTGGAAGCATGTAATTTTGTCTGTTATCACAAGCCTTGCGGCCATCTTTGCAATAATAATGGTTGTAGGATGCTGCTGTATACCTTGTATACGTTCTCTTTGTGTTAAAGCTATAGACACCGCTGTTAACCCTGGACTGAGAGGTCAAATGCTTGCATTGGTTGAGGATTCCGCCGTCCCGTCGCCTGAGGAAGGTTATTGAAATGTGTGGCCTTTTTTAATAGCGGCCAAGAGAGGGAATGTTGTATTTATAAATAAGAGACATTCTAAAACCATGTGTTTTATGATTTACCGACCTCTGAGTGGCAGGCCAGTCCTTTTTATTTAATTTTAGGGGTCTTCTTGGGGGACCAGCTAAAGTAACAGATGGGTTCTTCTGTTTGGATTTTGTCTGCCTAGCCTTGGCCCATGCTGACTTTTGCATTATTGAACCCACTCCATCAGGAGTGGGTTGACACTGGAGTCTGCCAGTCTACGCACTACTTGTTTAGACAACAGAGATGGATCTCAGACCAAGAGACAGCTGGCCGGAGACACTAGGTTAGAAAAGCATGGATTCTTTTTTAGGTGCAGACGGGAGAAGACCAGATGGTGGAAGGCGGATCACGGGACCCCGGAAGCTGGCTGATACCACGCCCCTTCTTCTTGCACATTTTACATATAGTAGATAGTTTGAATGTGTGGTTAGTTAGTTTTTTTGCGGACCAGGGGCAGTATATGGCTTGAGTGGAGCGCCCACTCAGTCATACTTTTATATTTTATATAGAGAATAAGGGATAGTTATTTTTGGTCCGAACAGCTGTTTTAGATTCTTTTTGTATTAGGGAAATAAACCTTTTTGAATTTAACTTTCTGAATCATGGTCATCTTTATAAGGGATTTTGAACACGTCATTTTTTAATACGTTAGTAAACATACTGTATATTTAAATAAGTAAATAGTCATCAACACAGAACGATTCAGCTCATAGCTCCTCCTCACACACAGACCTGCTCCTCCTCACTCAGACCTGCTCCTCCTCACACAGAGATCTGCTCCTCCTCACACAGAGACCTGCTCCTCCTCACACAGACCTGCTCCTCCTCACACAGAGATCTGCTCCTCCTCACACAGAGACCTGCTCCTCCTCACACAGACCTGCTCCTCCTCACACAGGGAGACCTGCTCCTCCTCACACAGACCTGCTCCTCCTCACAGAGACCTGCTCCTCCTCACACAGACCTGCTCCTCCTCACACAGAGACCTGCTCCTCCTCACACAGACCTGCTCCTCCTCACACAGGGAGATCTGCTCCTCCTCACACAGACCTGCTCCTCCTCACACAGACCTGCTCCTCCTCACACAGACCTGCTCCTCCTCACACAGAGATCTGCTCCTCCTCACACAGACCTGCTCCTCCTCACACAGAGACCTGCTCCTCCTCACACAGAGCCCTGCTCCTCCTCACACAGACCTGCTCCTCCTCACACAGGGAGACCTGCTCCTCCTCACACAGGGAGACCCGCTCCTCCTCACACTGGGAGACCTGCTCCTCCTCACACAGACCTGCTCCTCCTCACACAGACCTGCTCCTCCTCACACAGGGAGACCTGCTCCTCCTCACACAGAGACCTGCTCCTCCTCAACCAGGGACCTGCTCCTCCTCACACAGAGACCTGCTCCTTCTCACACAGAAACCTGCTCCTCCTCACAGTGGGAGACCTGCTCCTCCTCACACAGACCTGCTCCTCCTCACACACAGACCTGCTCCTCCTCACTCAGACCTGCTCCTCCTCACACACAGACCTGCTCCTCATGACACACAGACCTGCTCCACCTCACTCAGACCTGCTCCTCCTCACACTGGGAGACCTGCTCCTCCTCACACAGTCCTTGTGTTGGTTAAAACACGTTCAACTTTCAAGAACGCCCTGTGCTATTTCCATACACACATAAATACCATATGTAGCGTTAAGCTTAGCGTACATCGGACTGGCAACTGATTATATCCGTCGCATATGAGTTGCTGCCCCGCACACATCGACAATCTGACGAAAACGGGCAACTCCCAGTAGCAGACCAGTCTCGGAAATAACAGCGCGTACATCGACAGCAACTGGCCTCAACTACAGTGTGTTTTCTGACATAAACTGTTGCGGGCTCGCAATACACACACGTTGTCGGAGCGGCGCATGGAGCGCGCACATCGGGTCATATCTCCGAAACTGAGGACAACTAGTTGCCGAAAAGTAGAACACGGGCAACTGACTGAAACTGGAGACCGACTGATCATCTCCAGTTGTAAGAGCGCGCACATCGACCGATTTCGGCAACTGATCATCTCCCACCATCTCCTCTCAGTTGCCAAAAGCCGCCTTGCAACTAGTTGTCCCCAGTTTCTATGTCGATGTACGCTAGGCTTTAGAGCCCTACACGGGCCTATTATCTGGGCCTGAGCCTGGCCCTGGCCCAAGGGGGTGGCGCCCCAGCCCGGCCCGGCCCGATATGGTTTCTGAATTTTCAGGCCCAAAACCTGCATCAAGCCCGACTTTTCTTTTATTTATTTTTTACCTCCCATAACAATGTTTTAGCGTAGTATATATAGTAGTGCCGTGCACTGATATGAACATAGTCTTGGCTAGAGGGTGGAGTTATACATGGTAGTCATGTGTTGCAATGAGTTCTGTGTGTGCGGAGTGAACGGCCGCAGCTGTATGATACACAGCTGTATGATACACAGCTGTATGATGCCCAGATGCCGCAACACACTTGTAAGTAACGCTATATGTCGTCACTACACAGAACAACAAACACAACAGCGTGATAGACACTATATTCAGTGGGTGCGTTGTAAATGTAATCTGCCGCTCTGAAAGTGCCCGAGCCCGGCCCGTGTCCGAGGTCATTATACGGTCATCGGCCTCGGGCCCTCGGGCTGTCGGGCCCTCGGGCTGTCGGCCCCTCGGGCCAAGGGCTAGAGTGCAGGGCTCTATGTAGCGTCACCGTCCTCGGATTCAAAGCCCCGGGTGATCCAGGGTTTTCTCACAGTTCTTTTCAGTTGGTTTGGCTCATTTATTGAAATTGAAATTGAAATTGAAAGACAAACTATAAGATAATTTGGCAAAACACACAGATCTGCAAATCATTTCAGTTCAATATCAAAAGCACATGTCTTTTGAAAAACAGTTCACACAATCCTCTAACCATGATGCTCTCCTGTCAGTGTCATCAGAATAACGAAGATCCTTCTCATTTGTTGTAATCTGCTTGGATGTGACGGAAAGAGAATAATGGATGAAGTGGAAAATAAAAATCTTCAGGATGATAAGAAATACTGACATGCTGCTGGTTCTATGACAGCCGAGGATGTTGTTCACAGTCAGCTCAATGGGCAACTGTCCTGTGTGTCCATGGGTTAAACTGCACACGCTTCCTAGCAGAGGAAACACAAGTGAGTGTAAAATGGTGAAAGTTTCAGGTATTCAGAATTTTGTGCTCAAATAGAATGAATCCATTTCAATCTGGAGAGACTAAACCAACACAAAAAACCATTAAATGAGTGTATTGATATTTGTTTGGCACATAGACCCGAGCTATGACGCTGGGTCAGGATAGAGTCTGGGAGGGGAGTCTGGGAGGCGGTGGGTTGAGGGTGAAGGGGGTCGGCCCAGGATGATATGGGACTACAGCAGGTAGTCTACCAATTCCGTTTAAGATGCATTCTTACCATCACTTGACAAGATAAGATAATATAAGCGATTCTTTATTCGTCCCATAGTGGGGGCGGGTCCCAGCTCAAAACCACATTAAAAACATGCGAATATTCCACTGTGCAAAAAAAAAACACTGGAACTTTTTTGGGTCACTTAAAGCACTAAGGATTTCCTGGCAATTTTTTACTATTTTCTCATATCGTGATACAATTTATAGGCCACTGTCGGGGTGGGAAGGAGGAGGACTCAAAATGCAGGAATGCCAAAATAATGGTTTAATGAAATAAAGTCCAAAGTGAAAATAAAACTCAAAATCCAAAATACAGAACAAGGAACACGAAATCAGCAACAGGACGGAACAGAAGTTGACAATACAATGGACCAGCAACAAGAGGAGAGGAGCACAGGGTACATATAGACAGAGACACAGGTGAAACACATTAGGGCGGGGCAGACAATCAAGACAGAGGAAACAGGGCGTCAAAGTCAAACTAAAACCAAAGCACAGAGAACAGATATCAAAATAAAACTAAAGTCCAAAATAACAAAATCCACACCATGACATGCCACGTCACCAACAATGCCAGCAATCGTTCCCCCAGGCAAGACACATAACCTGAAGCCTGAAGTCTTGCTGAAATACCTTGGTTGCCGTTTCACACACACTCAATATGTTCAAAAGGTAGTAGGAAGAAGTAGCTGAACCCTGTTAATGGAATTGCAAGTCTATGTTATGAAATTAATGAATGAGAATGTGTTTAACTTTAATCTAAAGTACAACTTAGGTAACCTACCTTTGGATTGTGGAAATCTACTGTTGGGCCAGAGGAGGTAACCTTAGACTCAAGGCTGAGGCTCTGTGAAAGGGCCGCTGTGGCTGCAGGTTTTCTATCAGACCCAGCAGGAGCAGAGCAGACTCCACCCACTTACTCAAGTAAGCTCAGTCTTAACCATAGACTGTATACAGTATGTCTTAACCTGAAGATTTGAGGAAATGGGAGGATTCTGTTCTGCTCCTGTTGGGTCCTGTTAGGCTCCTGTTAGGCTGCAGCTGAATGTGTGCTGTAAAGCTTGGGCTCAGGTCCTGTATTTGCTCGTCTGTTTGCTCACGAGAATTTCCTGAATGACATCAGCCCCTGTGGGCGCCCTGCAGAAGTGTGTATCTGCTGTAGACTCACCTACAATTTACGGCAAATTATTTTCCCACGACTACTGAGAAAATCTGTACTCATAAAGGTGAGGGTCAGGAATGAGCTCCATCAAACGAACAAGGTTATGATGTAATATCAATTACTGCGAAAGCTCTCCAGCCTCCTGTCTCTTCCATAAAGGGGCGTTCACATCTGACCATGCTTTGCATTGATTGTCAATGGAAAGTCATACACCAGCGACTTGACACAGGCAGCCAATGCAGGAATGAACATTGTTCAACTTTTTGACGGACGCACATCCGTTAACCAATCACAGAGCAGCAAAGTAGTCACAGGGACACAAGAAGCAAGAGGACGAATACACTCACAAACAGCCAAAACAAGAGCTAAACAGGAGCTAAACAGGAGCTAAACAGGAGCTAAACAGGAGCTAAACCAGGACTTATAATGGGGGACACAGAGCTTGTGAACATATGTCTCCAACGCCCCCAGAGTTCTCCTTCTCCTGTAACAGGGCTAACATGTTGGCCAATACAGAAGCATCTGTTGATAATATAATAAATCCATGGTGCAGCTTTGTGTGCAGTTATTGCTGTGATATGATGTCTCTGAACACAGAGACGCTCTACACCCGTGGGTGTGACTTTTACATACAAAGCCGTTAGCTCGAACACGCTAGCATCAAAGCCCGCCCACCACTTCCACCCTGCGTTTAGCGGTATCGCAGGGCGGTATGTCAGATTTACTAAAGTCATGCGGCTTGACTCTTTGACTTCCGGAAATCTGAAACGACTAGAACTCCCAGAGCAGTTATTCAAATCAATAGACTTCTGATTTCAGTTTCATTAAAAGTAAGTTATCAATACAAGTTTTACCTTTTCTCAATTAAATACGTGCTAAAACTGTCTAAAATAACTTGAAAAACAGCACCTTGCTAAAAATAAAGGATAACAAATAATTACTACCAGCAAATCAGAACCAGTGGAAAACCAGTCCAGGATCAGCACCTCGGAGAAAAAGGGCTGGCACAGAACGTTGGTTGCAACGTTTGAGGGATTTTATATTTTTATCTTGCCTTGCAAGCAACCAAAATTGACTACAAAAAATGTACATTCCGCCTTCAAAATACCTACAGGTAAAGGTAGAACCCCTAACGTTTGAAAAGAACATTATGAACAAATGTCATAAAAAATGTACTACTAATCAATCTACACTTTATTGCTCCATTTGGACAAAAATCCATTTAACGAAAAGTCACTGAACAAAAACGAATGAATCAAACATCATAAACAACAACAACCTTAAACGACGCTGACATCTCAAAAACAATCAATGTCCATTATCTGAAATCGCTCTTGACAACATGGACTCACGCTGCTCGACAGAGAGGCCAGAAGAAACACATGTTCAGTCCATTTCACAAATTTTACATTTCTCACATCTCTCCATTTTGAAAAAGGTACAAAGGTTAATCTAGTTATTGCTCAGCCCTAATAGAAATACAGACTTTTCACCTGACATCGAACGCTGCTCAGTGACTTAAACATAGCTCTGAGGCATCACAGAACAGCTGTATTTATGACACACTAGCAGCTGACACAGTCTGGAGGGCTCTATGTCATTGTTAGGTCAAGATATGAGTAGATACAATGGGCCTCATTCACGAGCCGTTCTTAGGAACAAATCTGTGCGTAAATCCTACTTACGAGGACTTTACGAAGATTGTGGGATTCATGAAATGTTCTCGTATCCAGAATTTCTCTGAGGTAAGTACAAATCCAGTGCCGACGCTGGTGTTGTCTTCTTTTCAATAAAAACCACTGATTGGTCAACGAGTGTTGTCACTGGACGCAACGTTCGACCCTTTGTTAAAAACAACTCAACCGCCATCTTTAAAATCGGCTGCTCTGCTCGGCTCTGCTTCGGCTACATTACGTCCTCCTCACTCCAGAGAA